ACATTTGCCATACAAATGTAAATGTAAGTTGTATATTGTAGCATTGTATAACATTTTTAAAACGTCAACAAAAACAATTAAACAAACATACAAAAACAACCAGACATACAAAAACAATCAAAAAAACAAACAACCAACCAAACAAACAAACAAACAAACAAAAAAACAAACAACCAACCAAACAAACAAACAAACAAACAACAAACAAACAACCAACCAACCAAACAAACAAACAAACAAACAAACAAACAAACAAACAAACTTTATATCAGCAAATAATAAAAAATACGGAAAAAATCAGCGGATTAAAGGATTTGGATTAACGGGCATTGTCGTGGTTTGTAGTATTATTACGACGATGAAGAAGAAGACGATGATGAAGATGATGATGGTGAAAAAGAAGATGATGGAAAAGATGATGATGATGACGGAGAAGAAAAAGAGGATGATGATGATGATGGGGATGATGATGAAGGAGGTGACGTTAAGGATGAAAACTTGATGAAAATAATGGTGAAAATGGAGAAAGTTGAGATGATTAAAAAAATTATGACAGTGGTTCTAAATACGACGACGACAACGACGATGGTGATTCTACTTATGATTGTACGATGAAAACATGATTAAATGATGCTGCTGCTGCTGATGATGATGATGATGCTGCTGATGATGACGATGATGATGACGATGATGATAATGATTCTTGTTCGTCAACACCACAAACAAAAATTTTTCTCCACAAACGAATTCTGAAACGTGTAAATGTAAAACCACCGCTGAGTGATTCTTCGTACTGCAAACCAAACCAGAAGTTCTTTCTGGAAATTTTTCACAAGTCTGTGGATCAACTTTCATGTGTATGCTTCCATATTCCTTCTTGGATACATGAATACAAATACATGAAATACATGAATGCAGATACATTAAACACATATATGCAAATGCATTAAATACATAATAACAAATACATTACATACATAGATACAAATACATTAAATACATAGATACAAATACATTAGATATATAGATACCAATATATTAGATACATGGATACAAATACATTAGATGCATAGATACTAAACATTAGATACTTGGATACAAATACATTAGATATATAGATACCAATACATTAGATACATGGATACAAATACATTAGATACATAGATACAAATAGATACACGTAACGTGTTGAGTACCATGACAGCTTTTACAACTGTATTCTGTAGTTAGTAAAAGCAAAAAAGATTTTCGCTGTTTCTTTAAATTTGATTTTTGTAAGAAATGCAATTTCGAACAAGGATAATTTGGTTGAAATGGTTTTAAAACGCGTCTCTATGTAGGCTGTCAAGTTGATTCACTCTAATTAATAATATTCATCATGTTGTTTTCATTGTATTATGTTTTGTGTGTATGTATGTATGTATGTATGTGTGTGTGTGTGTGTATGTATGTGTGTGTTTGTGTGTGTGTATATATATATATTTGTAATGTATTGTGTGTTCATGTCTCTGGATGATTGTGTATGTATTGTGTATTTGATCAGCTTGTAAAGTTTGTTTAATGTGATTCCAAAAACTCTTCAACAAAATACAACAACAGTTAGATAAAAATGCAGTGCATTAACCAATTCATAAACAAAACATGGGCGAATGATCGACCGAATATATTCAATCTTTATTTATTGCATTGCATAATTGGATATCTAATCGACTTGTTTACGTTAGGAAACATAGCCACAATAATATTTTTCCATACTTGAGAAATAAGAGAGATAAAGAGAGAGAGAGATAAAAAAAGAGAAAGAGAGATACAGAGAGAGATACAAAAAGAGAGAGAGAGAGAGAGAAAAAGATACAGAGAAAGAAAGAGAGAGAGAGAGAGAGAGAGAGAGAGAGAGAGAGAAAGAGAGGAAGAGATAAAATTAAACAGAACCATTTCTAGCAAGCCACAAGGGTAGGTCGTCCCAAAACTTTTTTTAAACTATTGACTATGAATAGCAATAAAAAGTTGCTCTAGCATATATGGATCACATTTGAAATAAAATTAAAAAAAAAAATTTTGTTTAACTCTGCCGCCAGGGCCTTGAAAAATGACTTAAATTTGCCATTGAAATAAGCTCATATAATATATACCAGTAATTCTATTCAATGCCAATTGTTTGATTAATATTAAAACCAACATTTACATTTTATTATTTTGTTAAATTGTTTCCAAATTATTTTTTTTTGTAGAAAAATTAATTTTTTTGTAAAAAAAAATTATTTCTTTTTTTGTAAAAAAAATTAATTTTTTTTGGATTTTTTTTTTTATAAAAATGCATTTTTTGTAAAAAAACACAAATTATTTTTTTTTTGTAAAAAAATTTCAATAATTGGAGTGATACAGTTACACAACATACTTTTCGGTATATTTGATAATTAAAAGACACTGTTTTCTGCATATAAGAGAAAGACATTGAATTTTATTATATTATAATATATTTACTATTATAATATTATCAGTTTCAGTTAATCTCTCCTCTTTTCCAATCTTTCTTCAAACCAAAATGTGGAATTTCTTTTCTTGATTCTAATTTTGCTCTTATATATCCATCACGTCTCAGAGCACCACAGACTGGCGATGATGCTTCGGTTACCAACTTCACATGTCGTTCCACGCTTTGATTATGGCAAGGATATTTTTTTAGTGTCCACTTCCGAGGTACTTTAATTGCTGCTTCAATTTTGTCATCATTTATATCTCGTAGCATAGGTGGCGAGGTTCTTGGAACGTCTTGCCAATTTAGAAGACAATAGTATTCGGCAGCCTCAAAGTTAAGAGAAGGACATTGAAATTTTCTGATTTTACCTTCACCAGGTGCTGGAGCTTTTTTTGCACATTTAATTCGTCCGGCTGCAAGTTCTCTTATCTCTGTCATCTAGCAGATTGCTGTTAGAATATTTTCTGGGTGACCAAAAAAAGCATTTCTTTGAATACATTTATTATCTGGAGTTCATTTTTAGGAAGAAAACGCGTAAATTGAATCAAGCGCCACAGGTGCTTAGCATCCATATAACACTGAGGTTGTATTTTTGTAAAAAAAAACCGTAGTGGAGCATAAACTATTAGAATGTAGTCCGTGGGCAATGTGAGTTCTTTAGAAGATGACGTGGTTGAAATATACATATTGGCTGCTGTATGCCAACGTGAATGGATTAAAAGGACCAGGTTTTTTTTAGTCAGTTCTTTTTATACTTTTCCAATTTCTATTGCTTTAACTATGTTGAAAAGATACTGCTGATATTTGTGATATCTTATAAAAGTGTCGGCAAATTATTCTGTCGTTTTTCAAATTTTACATTTTATTGCTCCACAAAAAGCTTTTGTGGAGCAATAGGCTCCTTAATTTGGCTCCTTAAGTAACGTAATATGTTTTTCAACAAAAAAGCTCTTGCTACAAGTTAATGACATACAAATAGTTTTGTCTTTTCTTCCATCAAAGAAAATTGACTTTGGACCTGCAGCAGCTAGAGTTATCTTTGCTTCATACGTTAATTTGGCTCGAAGCCGTTGCCTTTGTCGTCTCAGCTTTGAGCGGTCAATAATAGCTGTCCTATCGTTTTTTTTATAACTCCATAGTCTGTGAGGGCAGCTGTAGCTATAGCAGCTCCTGCAACATTAGATACGCCATACCTATTGCATTCTCTAGCCACTGTAGGAAACTGGAGTGTATTTCTAAAAGATTCTGCGTGAGAGGCCTTGGACTATTCCAAAACGCTTTGTTTTTAAATTTCTTTTAACACACGTTTTAAATCAATCACTAAACTTTATATAAAAAAACCGTTCTATTTCATTTGACGAGGAAGAGCATCGACCAATTTGAACAAGCGTCACAACTACCAGAATTGGGAGCCCAGTTATTCCTAATTTTAGTAATTGCAGTTGTTTATAACTGTTTCCAAGTTTATTATCAATTATTAGTAGAGCATCTCGATAACGGTGTTTATTATTTCGAATGAATTAAAAAATTAATATTGCCGTGAACGAGAAAATTTATGTCCCTGCAATTATTAATTTTCTTCATTTTAATCCCTAAAATAAGAAGTGTAGTTAGTAATTTGGAGTATTTTTATAATTCCTAAAATGACTAATAATAAAAATAATGATTACTCTAATCATTAATTATAACTTTAAATTAAAATTAATTGTTTTACTAATTATTATTTTCATAGTATAAAAAGAACAATATAAGCTAAAAATGCCAATCTTGCTCCACCTGGCGGCAAAGGAAGATGAGTCTTGATTTTGAAAAAAATTGTCATTTCATACTAGATCCATGCCATAGCAACTTTTTATCACTATTCACATTCAATTTTTTTCTGACGACCTACCCTAAGCCACATACAGCATACATTCAGAGTGGCAGTCTTCCAATGTATCTCTCACCTTACTACTACTACTACTTCCAACAATGGCGATGAAGTTTTCAATAATGAATGATAAGCTGTCAATAGCCATGATGACGGTACTGATGATGATGATGATGACGGTATTGATGATGATTATGGAAATGATGATGGTAATGATGATGATGATAGTGATGGGGATGATGATGATGGTAATAGTAATGATGATGATGATGACAGCTGGAAGTTAACGAGTAGGTATGTGGTTGCGTAACTGATGGTGTTGCATAACAGGGCTTTGGGATTACCTAGGCCAAACGACATTAATAATAATATTAATAATAATAATTATTATTATTATCTTCATTGTCATTATAATAATAATAATAATTATTATTATTATTATATCATCGTCATAATTATAAATATTATATTTATTGTTTACTTTATTAATGTCATTGTTATTATCATTGTTATATATATATACAATACATATATATATTTTTATATCTTATTATCAATATATATTAACATTTTTATTATTATTATTGTTATTATTAATATGATGATGATGATGAGGGTTACTATGACAACAATTGCCAACGGACACAACAATATGAACTGGTTTAATTTGATGATTGCAGAATGCAGACTTCAAGCAAATATACGCTCAAACAGAACTTTTCAATCAGATTAAGGTATTCATTATTTTCTTCCTTCTTTCGCTCATTCATTCATTCATTCATTTCTTCATTCATTCATTTTTTTTATTCATTTTTTATTCATTTGTTGTCTTATTTATTTACTCGGTTGATGAATTCATTCATTCACTCATTCGTTCATTCATTCAATCTTTGGTTCAATCGTTCGTTTGGATCATTCGTTTTTTCGTTTTTTTGTTCATTCGTTCATTAATTTTCTTACTAAACTTTCATTTTATTTTGTTTTCATTTTCATATCATTTGTTTTTTCATTCATTCGTTTCCTTCCGCATATTCGTCCATCTATCAGCGAGTGCGTTCATATTCTTTGTTCGTCTACTTTTTCTATCCATTCAAATTTTTCATCCATACATACATTCATTCGTTCATTCATTCATTCATTCATCCATTCATTCATTCATTCGTTCGTTCGTTCGTTCGTTCGTTCGTTCGTTCGTTCGTTCGTTCGTTCGTTCGTTCGTTTGTTCGTCAATTTGTAAAATTTTAGAACATCGTCTGTTACATTCATCCTTAGTCATGTCATCGTTCTGTTATCATTTCGCTTCCATCGCCTCGAATAACTTCATCACAATCATTTCATCATTTTTTTCATCATCATGCTATCCAATATCATCATCACGTTTATCACCACCATCATCATCATCATCGTCGTCATCATCATCATCATAATGGTCGCATACATCATTTTCTTGTTTACTGCTCCTGATAAGACGGCATAATTTTTCAAAATAATGATCGTTATCATCCTGATCATGGCCGTATTTTTTTCAAAACGATGATCACTACCATGATGATCTTCCACATAATTCAGCGAGCCCTCCTGGCATGCTGTTGTCTTGTTTATCTACATCAATTTTTTATCATGTCATTTTTACACTGTCACTTTATTTATTGCATTATATTCCTCTTCGCTATCATCACCACCATCACCATCATCATCATCATCATCATCATTATCATCACCATCATCGTCATCATCATCACCATCATCATCACCACCACCATCATCATCATCACCATCACCATCATCATCATCATCATCATCGTCATCATCATCATCACCACCACCACCATCATCCTCACCATCATCATCATCATCATCACCATCATCATCATAATCATCATCACCACCACCATCATCATCACCATCATCATCATGGCCATCACCATCATGGCCATCATCATCTTCATCATCATCATCATCATCATCACCACCATCACCATCATCATCGTCATCATCATCATCTTCATCATCACCATCATCGTCCAACCAACCGACAGAACTCCGATGTTCGACAGATGTATATTAACGCGCAGACAGAATGGTTTAACCACATCAAGGTATTATTTCTTTTTGTTGTTGTTGTTGTTGTTGTGGTGTTGTTGTTGAGTTAATGTATTTGATGTTGTTGTTGTTGTTGTTGGGCTAATATGATTGACGTTGTTGTTGATGTTATAGTTGATGTTATAGTTTATAATGTTATTTCATTATGTTGTCGATTTTGTTATTGATGCTATGTTTTGTAGTAATGTTACTGTTATCATATAACACATGGAGAAAAAGAGAGAGAGAGAGAAAGAGATAAAGAGAGAAAATGTGTTTGTTTTTTTTTGTGTGTGTTTGTTTGTGTGTGTGTTTGTTTGTGTTTTGTGTGTGTGTGTTGGTATAATGTGGATGATAAATGGAATACATTATTGATTTAGATATAAAAAGGTTTTTTAAGTTTATCGGTGACTTATCGTATCAAAAACAACAACAACAACAACAACAACAACAAACAACAACAACTTCAACAACAAAAAACATCAACAACAACATCAACAAAAGCAAACAACAACAAACAACATCAACAACAACATCAACAAACAACATCAACAACAACAATGTATTAGTGCTAGCGTTGTACCGGTACAGTTGTACTGGCTCTGTGAGTGCAATTTTCAAATTCGAGTACCGCAACGCAGTTACATAATTTCGAGTACGCTACTCAAGTACTAAGTACTACTACTATCAATAATAAATCTATACTATTGAATGTATCGATGTAATGTCATTGCTGTTGTCTATGTGGTATGTAATGTTACTCAATTGGTTACTTGTTTTAAACATCAGTGATATAAACAAGTTGTCATTCCGTCATTGCTGTTTCTTAACGTCATTGTTCTTGGTTTGATAGCGTCAGAAGAACAAAAACATTATGACAATTAATGTTGTGATGTTTTTAGTACCTTTGCATTTGTCACCTGTTATCACTTGATTTTGAAATTTTTCGAAATATTTACAATTTTTTTTTTATTTGTTCTAAAATGTTTTCTCAGAGATTTATATAATTAATAATTCGAAGTATTTAAAGCTTGAAACTTATTCCGAGCAATTTAGAACCTTACACGTGCATAATGTTATTATCTCAACCCATTTCAATCATTGAAACAACATTCATCATACACCGTTACGTATAAATCTATTATGAATATAAATCAGAATTATAAATTATTTCAACTGCAATTTTTGCTCGTATTTTTAAACTTTAAATAAGTTTGCTTTCATAATTTAAATACATTTAACAATTCTTTTTAAATTTTTTACCAAAATTTTGTTACCGTTAACATTCTGTGTGACTCATTGGGCCGATACTTACCAATCCATCATCATTACATTATCAAACGCATATGATACTATCACTCAGTCGATAATGATAATAAAGATGATATAACACACAAAAATTATGGTGATAATAATAAAGATGATATAACCCACAGAATGATGTTAATAAAGGTGATAAAACTCACAAAATCTAGATCACACTGAC